AATTACGTGCCTCAGAAGTTGGGATTTCAGAGTCAAGCTTCATTGAACCCTATTGAATTTCCCAGTTTATATTTCAGTAGCCTATTTCAGTAGGCTTAACTCTGCCTATAATGAAAACTTAAATCTACCTTCAAAGAACAATACGGTTCATTGAAGTTCATGAAAACATGAAATGTTATTGGGAAAATGATACCACATGCTCCAAAGACAATTCTCCATGATAACTGCCAATCTGGAACAATGTTCTTTTGTACATCTACAAACTAATATCAATACAGACTAAATAAGTAACCAACTTGTCCAAGAATAACAAATACCACTAGTGGAGATTACAGTCAAACAAAGCAATTTTGATTATTCATTTGTTCATTCGTACGCTCTTTCAACAAACATTAGTCAGGCAACTACTTTGCTCCAGACACTGTGCTGGGTCTTAAAATTACAGCAACAACAAAAGCCACGGTCCTTACCCTCAAGGTATTCCCACTCTAGCCGGAAAGAGAATTACTATACATTAAACTTTTGTGTGAATCAGAATAACCTGAGAAGTTTTTCACAAATCTAAGTTTTTTTTTATGTTCCCAGATAGTGTAATTAAATATATCAGGAGTAAAAGCCAAGCATAAATTGTTTCAAGGAACAAATCACGGAGGGTGGTTCTAAAATGGGTCTTCTGAGGATGGCCTTCTGAAAATGACCTTCTGAGAAATACTATCATACAATGTGATTATTGCTGAGAAGGGGTGCTCAGTGTGCCAGGGGAGTGCCCCAGAGGGCCACATATACCAGTTTGGGAGGTCACTAGTTAACTGAGGGAAAGGTAGTTCCAGGCTGCAGTCAAAAGTAGAATGGGGAATAAAGCTTTGTTCCTAGAACTAAAACTTAAAAGGGCATAAAAAACAAATGACCAGTGTTGGGTATGTTGGTGGCACACATAGTGGATGCCAGGTGCCGTGCTAGGCAACTGATACACACTACCTTTATAAACCTTCGCACCAGCCTTATAACAGAAAATCATTTTACAGAAGAGGAAACAGGCTCGGAGAAGTGCTTTCCTGAGGTCACACTGCTAGTTAGCTGGCAGAGAAGCTAGGACTATCTCAGTCTCAAGGCTGGGAGCCTTCTAATACCATGAGCTTGTTACCAGCACTGCTGAGCTGTACCGAGGTTGCCTATTCCCTGATGAGCCGTAAGGTACATATGATATTTAAAGTCAAAGGAACTGACTTTGCCACTTGACTTGTAAATCTGAGCCTTCCTTTTGTCTGGCCGCTGATCTTGCTTTTCATGGTAGATAGCAAACACTCCATAAGTGTTATTAGGCGAGATTTACAATGATATGCTGTCTCTTATGCATAAGAGTGAGTCATTTGGCAGCAGGGACTGAATTTTAGTAATATGTGCACTCTTGCAGTTGTAGTGTGGCATCTAACAGTTCATTGAACAAATTAATAAATAAGAATCTGCCATGTTGGTAGAAAGAGGGGCAAACATTTGACACTGCGTCGAGGCTACATACAATCCAGGTAATGGCTACTACTGTCGCTTTACAGCCACACAGCCGTACAACTACAACTGCCAAGGAGTGGACTTTGCTCCTGGGAGAAGATTCTATTTCTCTGGCGTTTCCAATCTTTGCAAAATAATTGGTGAAATCACAAGCCATGAAGCTCAATTTCCTTTAACTAGTCTGGTGAAAAGTAGGATGGGATTTGTGCTATTTGTCATGAAGGGGATGCTGAGCGAGTGAATAACGTAAACAAATTCACAAAAGAATGAGTATTGATCCTATCATGGAAAATAGCATTTCAGGAGTGCTCCATCTGAAAATACATTTGTATTCATAGAGTTGTTGAACCTGTAACACTATTCTTACTGACCAAGTAAGGCGAGTTCTGAAGAAACTCCATTAAGGAACTCTATTTTTTAGCTTAAGTCTAATAACTATGCATTTGAGAGTAACAAAACTATATTTCTTTGAAATATTCTATGACAATTTTTAATAATTCAAATAAATCTCTATTAAATAATATTAATGAAATTATGCTACATGGCACACTTCTACTGGAATCAATTTTCAATGTAGCATTAGCATCTCTTATATCATCTTGTCCACAGATCTCTCCTAATCTAACCAAGAGCTCTTCTCACTTCCTGCGTTGTGATTGCATGTGTTTGTACGTGTGACAAGAGGGGAGAAAGGAAGGCTACAAAGGGAGGAAGAGAACAATGTCAGTCTACTGTGATGTTTCATCTCGGAAATAAGAATGGGCAGTATAATTTATTTTCCTTCTCAATATGTTTCTCACTTAAATGAGCAAATTAAGATTTATTGTATATATGTAATAGATAAAATGAACTATGTCATTTTGCTCATAAAATGAATTCAGTCATTTTATATATTATATATACACATGTATGATATTCTCATAACACCTCGATTGTTAGTTTATTAACATATAATATGCAATAATTAGACACTGTGCAAATTCTACCTGGTCAAACTAGCCACTGCTAGAAAGGCTAATTCCTTCCAGTATCATTTATAATCCCAAATCACTGGGAATTTTTAATTCTCCAATGATGACAGAGACAGTCTCTAAAATTCTTCCCCAGTGGCATAAACCCAGACTATTCAGATAATTTGTTCTGAGTAACTCAATACATAAATTCAAACATAAGCTTTAATGTACAAAAATTAAATCTACAATATCTAGTTATTTAGGACGGGTGCTTCCAATGAACTTTCTTTTGTATCTCATATGGAACACTAATGGAGACTTAGGAGGGGAAGAGTGCTGAACTGGAGAGCCAGTGAATTACATGCTCTCTTGACACTTAATGGCAAGCTTTCATCCCGGACACATAGGGGGATTCTTGAGGCCTGCAGTTGCATTCCTGCCGCTCGGGATAATCAATAAAATCTGGGGCAGGCAAGCCAGACAGGATCATTAGGGATTTGTTCCAGATTGTGAATGTTGGACAAACTGGAAGAATGAAGGTCACATCGAAAGTGTGGAGATGGAGAGAGTTAGCTGGGTCATAGAAAGACAGCATGTTGTTGTCATAATCCAAGAGGACACCGAGCCGCTTCAGCTGTGGGGGCACATCCACCAGCATTTCCTTGTTGTTATGCCTCACCACGAAGTTACTATTGCACCGCGAGAAGACCCAGGAGGAGGCATTTTTGCCAATCCACTCATTCTTCGGGGCTGATTTGTAGGCAATACCAATTGCATACCTGAGACCATGGGGAAGACAGAAAAATACTTAGGAATGATATGAGTTGTGATAGACGTTCTTTAGGACTTATGAGTGACTATGTGCTTGTTCCTTTAAAAAAAAATTACATTTACATACATAATGATAGCATCACCGGAGCTTGCAGAGCCAGCAATTACAGTGATACATCATTTCCCGTCGCCTAGCTCACTATATTTCCCATGATTTTATCTTTTAAAAGCCAGCCAAGTTTTCTAGGACTGGTTCGTATTGCATACATCTTAACTTTGACTTATTGCTATTTTAGTTGTGCTGTGGAAGGGAATCTCCTGGGAACCTAACGGTAGAGAAGATGGGGGGAAGGAAAGAAAAAAATATCCACTCACCATGTTGAAGAACCCATGACCACCTCCCAGTAGTGGCAGCCACTGTCAATGAATATATTTCCTGCTGCCCCATAACACCCCGTTCCACTAAATCTCTCCGGGGTATGGCTTTTCTTCAGAGAGCTTTCATCCTTCTCCATCTGCAATCCATCATTAGAGATCTTCAACTTCTTGTGAGTCATTTTGGGATCTAGTTTAAAGGGTTGGCCTGAAAAAGGTAGAAGAAAGCGGGGGAGTATGATAAAGCATTTAAGAACTGTGCTTTTCCCCTCCAGGATCATCATTAACAGAGGAGCCTCAATATGATGTTGATCCTCTGGTAAGGGCAGGTCAGCTGCAGTTTGGATTATATTAAGGAAGTAGGCAAGATGACACAATTTGCAATTAAGTAAGACTGTAAGTCACCCCCCCCACACACACACCAAAATAGCCTTCATGCAGACATTATTTTCCTTCTGTGTGAAAACTGTCCGTCTCTCATATCAGCCTTATGCTAGAAGCCATATTCCAAGCACATGGGAGCTTATAAAGTGTTCCCATCATGTATTATGAAATTAAAAGGGACCACGCAAAGTCTCACATCCTCTTGGTTTGTTTCAGTGAGTGGGTTGGGATTTGGGTAGCTTTTAAAGAATGTTGCAAAGGTTGAGGTGGGAAAGTCTCTCTGTGTTAATGAGGCGATTGCTCAGAACAGAAAAGAAACTGAGAAGAGCTCAGCAACAGGAGATGCTGGTTTTCTTGAAATTGGGGTGTGCATAGAATCTGGCAACTTTGCTGCAGTGGCTGCTCCACCATCGATGATGAGAGCTAGCATTGCTTCACTGCAGCAACTCACAACCATATGACAAAAGCACTGTCCCAGGGCCCAGGTCCTGGGTGCGGCAAGAGCGTTAGTATACAGTATGCTTCTGTGACAGACACCACATACTAATACAGCGCCACTGTCTTCTATTTTTCTCTCTTACTCAGTCTTCCTGCCTTCCTTGCTACAAGGATAACTAATAAGAAGGAAGCTGAAGTCAAACAGATTGGAAGAAATGTCCAGTTAAGCTTCTGTTTTCTTGATTAAAAGATTACCAACTTTTCTCTTCTTCTTCCTGTCTTAAGGGAAACAGGGCATCAGCAGCTGTGCTGGCTATCTGGTGGCCTTGTGGATAAGCAAAGACATAAAGAAGGAGCTCCAGCCTTCCACGAGATCTCAGAGCTGCTATACTAGCCATCAACAGGCTGCCCTCAAACTTCTTGCAATGTATGACAGGCAGTTAAAAAACAGACAGACAAACAAACAAAGACCACTATTCACTTAAGCTACTGGGAAATGCCTGTTAAACTCCATCAGTTGTGACCTAGAGCATTCCTAACAGGTATGGCTTCTCTGTGGTACAGCTTTGTAGACCATCATTAATAATACTCTTTAAGCATGGGAGACAGGGGTGGAAGGCAGATAAAAACCCTTCCCTAATTTCTTTCAGAGCCACGCACGATTCTCTATATCTTAGTCCACAAACAGCCGTGGGCACCAGCAAATCCCATACACAAAGCTCACAACAGTGAAGCTCCCCCACCCACTGCTACTGTTCTCACACGTTACTATGGGAGTCTCGCAGGCTAATTGTCCTCCCTGGCCAGAGAGGAAAATGGGTCTTTCCTCCTAGAATCTCTACAACGTACTGTTTGTTTTCAGTCTGGTGGGTTCGCTGTTCCGGCTGCCCGCTTGATTTATGGCTTTCACAATAAAGATGTAGCGTGTCCCACTCTGGAGGCCGTGCACTGTGTAATGGTTCTGTTTAATGTTGGGCACAATCATCCAGCTATCCACTGAATTATACAGGCCTGTGAAGTGGGGGAAAATGAAGGCATCAATCAATAGGTAAAAAACCTAGGATTAAAGCAACAACAACAAAAAATACCGAGAATCAATCATAATCCACCGATGTGAATTCATTTTGTTTCTTCTGAGGCGTGAAAGATACAATGAGATGAACCAGTACTTATGATTTCATTATTTATTTATTTGCCACACACTTAGACTTGTGCCAGGCTTCTGGCATCTAGCAACCACTGACCAAGGCTAATTTATCTCTCTCTCTCTCTTTTTTTTTGGCAAAGAACACAAGAATGGGCACTATTCCAAATGGTAGAATCCTCACAGTTACCGGCCTTTCAGTGCAAACTCAGCCCGGCCTTGCAGGAACGGAAAAGTTCCTGTACAGAGCTCAGCAACATGAAAGCTCGGATCAGAAAGGTCACCTAGGCATGAATTTCCTTTATTTCACAGGGCAAACAAGGATGGAAGGAAAGTGACTCGCTCATGGTCATAGATGGTGCTCAAAGTAGAACCCTGTGATCTTTTTCTCCTACACCAGTGATCTGTGCACTGTATCACTGTGTGTGGTGGGGAGGGGGTTGGCGAATGGCCAAATATAGCCTTTGTCCCTGTACGATAGTGAGGTTTTCAGAGCTATTTTACTCTGCTTTCCCAACTCATCTGCACCTGTCTTTTCTAAAATTTCTGGACTCCAAAAGAAGTCAAGATGACATGACAAACCAGGGCAGAATCTGCTTGCTCTGATAGGGCAGGCTTTTAGCTCTTCAGGGGTTGATTCCCGTACTCTTCTGGGGTCGTGTGGTCCACAATTATATTACTGTCCAAAAGATTTTTTTCTTTCCAAGCACGGAAAAGGGTCTCAAGAATGCTTTTGAAAATAATCTTTAGGTTACAAATATTAACTTAAACAGGGGGGAAATATATGTGATTAAAAGCAAGCATTTGGCTAGCTTTCAGGAAAACGAATCTATTCTGTTGGTTATTTTTTTTCTTTCTCTCTACTGTTATCTGTTTCTTAATTGGTATACCATTTTAAAATACAATTCTACTTGAAAATGGAGAAGAAAGGACAAGGAAAATGAAGACAAAATTTAGTCCTTATAATACGCCTCTAATGAAGGACTTAGTGAGATCAGAAATTAGATATCTCGTTATGACTACTTTACAAGGGATCTGATCAGGAGACTTAAAATTAATTTGAGGTTAGGTAGGAAAGGCCTAAATTAGAACTAGAAAGCAAGACGTAAACTGGGCACAGTGGTACACCTGTAATCCCAGCGCCTCAGAAATAGAGGCAGGAGGATCAATGAGCTAACGGGCAGCCTCAGCTATAGAACAATTTCTAAGCTCAGCCAAGGCCATCTCAAAACATCAAATAAAGACCAAACAGACAAACAACCTTCATAATAGGAAATGAAAAGATATACTATAGAAATAGCCAGACTTGGTTGAGATAGTAAATGACTCTTGTTGAAAAAGGAGAAGGGTTAGAACAAAGCTGTGGTCTGTGTTATCATTGGACAGTATGAGCAACAAACCACAGAACTTTTATCACAAAGAGGATACTACAGGGTCTCCCAAAAGTTTTTTAAAAAGCAGCTACAAATATTTTTTCATAGTGAAGTACCATGTAGCTATTTTTTTTAAAGAGCAAGGAGGACGCTCTCTACAAGCTGACGGAGAATTAGTTCCAGGAAATATAGCCAACTGAAAACCCTAATTATAAAAGACCATATATAGTATATAGTATTTTCAAGGGAAATAGAAATAATTAATCATATTACATTTTCTTGGATTTACAAAAACAATAACCATAGTAAGTATAACCTAGGAAATAACAAGTTTGGCCACTTACGAAGGTAAAAGGGATACCAGAGAAAAGGATAATTCTCTGAATATACTTTTTAGCATATTTTCTCTTTTAAGGAACTTTTTATTAAATAAATCAATAAATTTTCATTTCAAATTTGAAAATACACATTAATTCAAAAGGTTAAAATTAAATCAATAAACAAAAATAGGAAAGATGGGACTAAAGGCAAACTGAAACAAGTTATACCCACTGCATCTTAAAGGAATAATGACCATAAAAAATACAGTTGAGGGGAGAACTGTTCAAGTGCTCCTCCAGGCAACTACATCCTCAGCCCCCGAGGAAATCAATTCTAAAAATATGACAGACATATGACAGGATCGAGCAAGTACACACTGATGCTGTTGAGACTCAAGAGTCTCACCGTGGAGAAAATAGCATGCAGCATAGGGAATGAGAGAAAGCAAGAAGGAGCTTGTGGCGATGAATGAGAAAGGAATGAATTTGATGTGGCTTGCATGATGTCCGACAATGTCCCCCTCGTTCAAACTTTCCCTCCAGGAGAAGGCAGGAGGTTCATGAGACCCAGGAGGTAAACAAAGCCATCACACCTCTGGGAAAATGAAATTTGGAAGATTGTCTAAGGCCCCTCCCCCAGTTTTCCAGAAGGAGTAAACAACTGCGGGGCGAGGAGACTTTGAGCAGCCCAGGTGAGGAGGAGAAACCACTGAACCGCCTGCAAATTGTGCTGCTGAGGCTGCAAATTTCCTAAACCATGACCCATGTGGTAGTGGGATTTTTGGTGATAAAGTTGCCTTTTTGAGCTATCCCTGCTTTTTCAAGTAACTTTTTACCCATATTCTTATAAGCTACTCCAATAAAAACACAGTGGTGCAGCAAGTTGGATTTTGTCTATTTTGAGTTCCTTTTCTGGGATAGGTAGGTGTGTGTGTGTGTGTGTGTGTGTGTGTATGTGTGTGTGTGTTCAGCAAAAGCCTCTCACACAACACTGTATGACTTCTAAAATATTTACAGTTAGTCCCCTTTATCTGTGGGTTTTGCAATCAAGGATTGGCTCAACTACAGATTTTTTGGGGGAGAGGGGGTTTAAGATAGAGTTTCTTTGTGTAGCCTCTCCTAAAACTCACTCTATAGACCAGGCTGGCCCTGAACTCACAGAGATCTGCTCTGCCTCCCGAGTGCTGGGATTAAAGGTGTGCACCACCACGACCCAGCAGATTTTTAAGGTTTTTTTTTTTTAAAGATTTATTTATTTTTATTTTATGGGTGTTTATTGTGTGTGTGTGCACCAAGTGTATGCAGTAGCCACAGAGACTAGAAGAGAGTGTAAATCCCCTGAAACTGGAGTTACAGACAGTTGTGAGCTTCCATGTGAGTGCTGGAAAATTATGCTAGGTCCTCAGTAGAAACAGCTAGTACTCTTCAGCACTGGGCTGTTTTTCCAGCCCCAACAAACTACAGATTTAAAGACTGGAGACAGGACATTACCATGTAGCCCAAGCTAGCTTGAAATCCCCCATATAGAAATAGACTGTCCTCAAATTCATGATTCCTCAACCTCAGGTATAACTTCCCTGCATATGCCAAGATGTTTGAGGCTAAACACAGTTTTCTAAATTATATCTGCATAGAATATGTATGGTCTTTTTTCATACTATTCCCTAAACAATAGAATAACGATTTATAGAATTTATACTTTATGAAGCAATATAGTCTACAAATGACTTAAAGTATACAGGAAGATGGTTATAGATTGTATGCAAACACTACACCATTTTATGTAGGGATTTGAGTCTTGAAAGATTCTGGGATCCTCAGCAGGTCATGTAAACCAATCTCACCTGGATACTAACAGGCAATTATATATACTTCCATATATATATACAGATGTGCACATATGTAGATTTTATACATATGTATATGTGGCAGTTTTAATAAGAATGCTTCCCATAGACTAAGATGCTTGGATACTCGATCTCTAGTTGATAGGACTGTGTGGATAGGTTTAGGAGGTGTGACTGGAAGAAATATGTCCCTGAGGTTTTTAAGTCATATGCCATTCAAAGTTCAGTCTTTCTGCTTCCTGTTTCAGTTCAAGATGTGAGTTATCAGCCTGATTCTCCTGCTGCTATACCCTAACTATGCCTTCATAGGCTCTGGATCGATGACATCATAGACATCTAAGCCACTGGAACCATAAGCCCAAAGAAACTCTTCTGGAAGTTGCCTTTGTCATGGTCCTTTACCACAGCAACAGAAGGGTGACAATTTAGTATATGATGTGAGTGGATATGTGTGTGTGCATATTACTAAGGTTTTACTTTCTAATATAACTGTCCTACTAAAAGTAACCAGGGCTCCTGGGAAAATAGCTGACTTGAAGGTTTGGACAGCATAAAGTTAAAAAGAGTCGTCAGTATTTTTTGTTAGGCCAGAAAGCAAAACAAAATGCTCACAAAAGGAATAGAAGAATATCACACAAACCCTGGAGTTGCCTTGAAAGGCTCTCACTGGCTAAATCCGGGACATTTACACAAGAAACATGAAGGTACTAAGGAATTCTAAATTATTGATGAAAATGCATCCACAAGTCTCCACTGATGAATAAATAAAAAAGATGAAATAGAGAGGCTCTTGCTACACAGAAGAATATTGAGTGTCAATTTGTGAGTGTGGGACAGAGTGTGCGGCGGGAAACCGGTCATTTCACAATCATCATATGAAGACTGTATAGGCATCAGTTGATGCCTAACTGGGGGTAAGAGTGGGCTGAGATGGGTTTGATGAAGAAGCAGGATTTTTTGTTTTGGTTTGGTTTTAAAGCATCACCATACAGATCGCTTACTGGTAGCATAAAAAAACAGAAATACATAATTTTAATGATTCAGGTAACATAATGGTCAGATAATCAAAATTAGTACCAAGAATGTAATGTAAATGGGCATTGCGTGTATCCAGATATGATATCCTAAGAAGTATACTCTTATTATTATATTCTATCACCTGCATATTATTCCAGCAAGGAACACATGGCCTGAATATAACTGTGAGGAAGTATCAGATAAATCTGAATTAAGAAACAATGTGAGAAGAGACAGAGACGTGCTATGTAGCCTAGGCTGGTCTTGAGCTATAATCCTTCACCTGGAATTACTGATGTGTACTATCACA